TTTCGTTAGAACGAAGTTACGGAAAAATCAATTAACAAACGGAGACGTAACAATATAAACATTTTGGAAGAGTGAAGACTAAAGACGCGTCAAAAACTACACCTAAGGTACTGTACGTGAAAGGGTTTCAAAACTCAGAAAATTAGCTCACATTGCATCATTCATTACTTAAAGCTCCCACTATGCAAGGTCAAATGTTGAATACTTTCTTCTTCTGGCACACACCTCTCGTCACACATAAAAAAAGAAAATGAAAAGCATTAACATGTATACTATGTGTTTAACCATTCATTACCTGTTTACATAACATAAACCCTTAACATATAAAGTCAAGTCTGAAGAACGACCAGAGTGATATTTGTAATATAACCAGTAGTGTTTCTGTAAAATTTTCCTTTAGGCTTCGTCTTGAAAAATACTTGAATTTGAGCCATACCCCTCATTATCTCAAAACTAAATTCAATCACCACTAAGGACTTTTTCTAATGAATTCTCTTTGAAGCAATTAGCTCATCACATTCTATCCACATTGATTTCAATTTCCTTATAAATATAACTGCAAGAGTACCTAATCCTTCCTACCCCATCTACACAAATCTAAATGACTTACGTGCAGTGGATACCATCAGCATACTTAATCCCTTGCATTGGATTTTTGTTTCCCCTCGAGTACTTGTGTGAGGAGCAACACAGGGACTGGGACAAAGTTGTAGTTGATTTGTACTGATGATTCAACATGATGGAAAAAGTTATCCATTAAGCTGAGTTAAAGGCTTCAAAGAGAGGTGCCACCGAGAATTTGATCACTTATTTTGACGATTGCAACATTTGCATAGTAAAGCATACCCTGCAATGGTTTTGGCAGATCACGAAGATATCCTCATAAATAAGTTTGCCGAGGGATTACTTGGTAAGGCAATGATACCTCATCAGGAGAGGAAGATGTTTTCACTAGTCGCTGTCATAGCTATACAACCGACACAAAGCCCTCGAGGATAACCAGCAGACAACACATTAAGGCATTGTGATACAACCTCACTGGTTTTCAGTAAAGGGGCAGAGCTCCCCTGGTCCTCCCATTACATTTGTCCTTTAGCCAATTTCAATAATGCCACCAACTGAAAGTCACTCCAGAAGGGAGTACAAAGTGGACACTTTGGGTGTGGACATTTAGCTCACTTAAAGTATGCAGCACATATCTTGCTATGCAGCAAGGTAGGCAAAGCTATTAGTTTTGACTGAATACTTAGCAGGTACAGAAGAATAAACAGTAAGTAATAAATGTTGCTGCTTCAGCTCCACAAAGCTAACGGAATCCAAGACAGAACTGGCCACAATCTCAGGAGGGAATGCAGCAGATAGCTTGCACCAAAAGGTGTGGTCGTCAGCTCAACTCTCTCAAGGCTCGTTGGTACGTGGTATGTGATTGAAGATACATGAACCTGAGATCGAGTTCTTGGTTGATATAGTAGCTGTAAATATGCTAGTTCCTCTTGCCATATATCAGGAACATGAGCCGGCCACCACTTTAGCCAGTTAACACTGACTTCATTCTGGCGATCAGTGATAGACTATGTGTGAATGGAAAGGTAGTGTCCAACTATGTCTTGGTAGTGCTAACCAGAGAATGAAGGCAGTTGTCTCAAACCTTGGTTTTGGCATTGGTATCCTTTGAATGCAGAAAGTTTTAGTCATTTAATAACTGTCCAACAGGTGAACTACATTTATGTGAAAGTTATCTGATGCCAGCCAGAGAAGGCTCAGGAACAGTGGACTGCATAGGTGTATGTTGCAGAAAGAATAATGGAGGTATACGTAAGTGATGTTATATTATTTACTACAGATAAGGTATAGTGCATTAGAGTTGTGTAATGTGGGGATAAAGCCAACACATGAAATTAACTGTTTTCTATCCAGAAACAAGTAACATTAGCTCAGATAGCAATTTGTTTAAGGAAATGTGAAGTTCAGTTGTTGTTCTGCAATTATGGTCAGTTGTTTATCCAAAATTCTCTCTATCATAGTACAGTACATTTTTTTCTCTTGTGATTGAATCTAGCACAATAATTTATTTGTAAAGTTTAAAAAATATAAATTAAAAGAAACTTTAAAAACTCTACATGTTTCGGTGGAAATAATTCCACCATCTTCAGGAGAATAAATCACGAAGTACACAAGAAGTTTCTTATAAACTTAAAGTACGTGTATAATTAGCATATTGTTACGTCTCCGTTTGTTAATTGATTTTCCGTAACTTCGTTCCGACGAAACTTTAGCGACACAAGTCCTTACTTAATAAAATTGGTTTATTCTTTCTGAATATAACTTTACGATACACTTAATTTCAATATTCGCGCTAAAACAAACACTATAACGAACGAACGTTAACTTCAACAATACGTCTCTCTCTGACTGCAGTTCAATTACTCATTACCAACACACACATTATTATTCCGTCACGTTGTCACCCTCTTTTATATACCAGATTACCCTATATCTAGTAAATACTAGAGCATTCGCCAAGGTACAGGATAGTTCTAGAAAATAGGTGGCGCCACACCAGTCACGTGACCTCGATGACGCAACACTGCCCCTTCCTTAGTATTGTTCGTTCCGAACAATTGCCACTTACAATAAACCAATAACAATTAACAATAACTTAATTAAATGTACAGAATTACAATCACAAAATTACAATTCGACAAAGTCTCTTAATTTTACGGGACTTATCTTCTTCCCTACTGGTCTCCATCTTG